AATAATATTAGTTTAATTAGAGATATTAAATTTGAGTCTGGAAAATGTATTAGCATTTAATTGTAAAGCTGTCACTCAAAAGGGTCTCAACCAAGCTTAATCCAAATTCATTGAAATTATTAGCTTTTAATATTATTGGATACTTTACTACCAACAAAAAAAAAAAGAGTGAGAAAAACTTACGAAAAGAAAACCCATGTCACATCATTGCTATTTTTATTTTTAATGCTGAAAAATATTAAAAAAACATTTACTCTCTTTAGTCGGACTTTTATATAAAATATTTTTTTAAAAAAGTATTTATGTGAGGTATGTTAGAATAATTTTTTTAAAAATTTTATTCTTTATTTATTTACTAAGATTTGAATTTATAAATAATATTTTATTATGATTATTCATTATTAAGAAAGGTAAAATTAAAAAAATTATATATTTTTTAAACAATTTAAAAAATATAACTAGTATTATTTTTTAATAAACATGAAATTGGTTAATTTTGTTTATATTGAAGATTGAAAGTATGAGAATAGCAAATGGTGAGCCTCCCAGTGGAATGCATGATTTTCTGTACAGAGACAACCTGACTACCTGAGTGTTGCTTACCCAAGGGGATATTTTGATGAATGAATAATGCAGGGTTTTTGCCCGTTTTACCAAAAAAAAATTAAAAGAGTATATAATAGGGGTGAGCATTAGTTGGTTCGGTTCAGTTCAGTCCCAAAATATGTAAAATCGATCGATCGAATAACACTAAAAATAAAAACCGAATTGAACCAAACAAATCAATCGAACCGAACAAGGATCGAACCGAAATTTGATAATTCGGTTCGGTCTATTAATTCAGTTTTTTAGTTTCATATTGAGCTATTAAAATTGGGCCCATTTTTTAAATATTAAAACAAACAATATTATAAAGTTAGGCCTTTTTCTGTTCATTTTTTTTAATATGAGCCCATTCTAATTACACCCATATAACATAAAGTCTAAATATTATAAAGACATGGATAATCAAATAAACAACCACAAATAAATATTGATGATCAAATAATGGCCCCATAATCCAGTCACAACACCTACTGATGAGAGTGACTAACTAAAATAAGGTTTCAAGTGATGTTATTATTTTTTATTCTTTATTAAAATAAAAAATAAAAATAAAATAAAATAATTTATAAATTAAATATAATTTATAAATTAATAAATTATATGTAACTCGATCGGTTCAATCTATTCGATTTTAAATTTTACTAATCGAATCGAACCGATCAACCTAAATATTTAAAATAAAAAAATTAAATTAAATTAAAAAATTAAATAGACCGAATCGAATAGATAAAATTTGATTCAATAATTTTTGATTTCTTTACTCACCTCTAATGTATGGCAAGTCTCGGCCGTTACATTACATTGTCAATTCCTTATATATGATGTTTCAGACGTCATTCATGTCCATTAAAAAAAGTTATTAAATTACTTTATTTGTTAAAAAAATATTTTAATATTTCAATCATATCCTTATTACGAAGAGATAGAGCCTTTGTATTTTATGCAACAAATAAATGTACTGGCTCATGCTGCTACAAAGTTATTAAAACTATAAGTGTAAAAACGGGACATTATTTAATATTTTCACTTTTTTTTTGCCAACATTTTAATATTTTCACTTGGCACCTTATAGCATGGAGCAGCTTTTATTTTTGGGAGGCACGCCATGTATATAGGAGACTACAGCGAACAATTGCTAATAGATCTTTTAAAAAACACTTATGTAAAAATATACAAGATAAATTATAAGTGGACGTCACATCTATTGAAGTAAAAATAATAGAAAATTATTTAAATTAAAGAAGATCACAAAAAGCACATGTGAAGAAAGCAGAATAGATAATTTTAAGTCCTATCAAAAGAGGTAGAAAAAAGCTAAAGATAACACTTTTAAAAGTAGTTGATCAACTTTTTAATCAACAACATTTATAAAAGCTTGATAAATGATGGAGTATAATAACATTATATAATCAACGTAGTTGACCCCACTTAATGGAATAAAGCTTATTGTTATTATATATAGGAGAAGTTATAACTTTTTAAATTTAATTTGCAAATATCATTGAAAGATGTGTAAATTTCTCTAAATTTTGTGGCTTGGGTTTACTTCATTTGATTCTATTTATAAGTCACTTTTAGTATATTTTTTCTTATTGTAATATTTACGAATTAAACTTAAAAATTTATAACTTACTCCCTTTGATTCTATTTATAAGGTAGAGAGATAATATTTTTTTATCCTACTTATAAGTCATTTCATTAAATTTTCATCGCAAATTTTTCCATTTGATTTCTATTGAATGCTGGAGAGAAAAATACATTATTAAAATATGTATATTTAATAAGAGTAAATATAATAAATTATTAAATTTTTATACAGAATTAGTGAGTTTTAAAAATTTTTTGATTTTAATAAAACATGTTAGAAGTATATTATAAATAGGATTAAAAAAGTATATTATGTATATGGTTCTACACAAATTGTATACATGGAATCCATTGGCGATAAGTCAAATTCATGAAACTTAGTATTAATTAATTTCCTTAGTGGTGATTTATATGCAATTTTTCCAAAAGTGTTATTAATGTTAGCATTGATAATTATATACTACGATGAACATATAAATGTAATTTTCATAATAAAATCATTTTATATCATAAATAATACAACCACTTCCTCTGTTCAACATTATAACTTGTAAAGTTTTATTAATCGAATTATACCTTTTAATAAATTAGTTAATTTTTTTAAAATTATATACTTCTTTTATGTTAACTCCTATTTAATAGGGTGTTTTAATTAAAAAATTTTATTAATTACACTCTTAATTAATTATATTTTTGGAAAAACTTTTTTAATTGTACATTGAAAAATGCAAAATGCTTTATATTTTTAATATATTACCTCAAAAAAAAATGCTTTGTATATTTTGAATGGTGGGAGTATTTTTATATAAAAAAACATTTTGTGTAATTGTGCTGGGAATTACGTCTAATTCTTACTTGGAATGTAAGATAAATTGCTTTTTGAAAATTTCAAAAAAGAAGAATAAGAGATGAGTACATGTTTGTTGCACCAAACGCTAGTGTAGTAATTAATACGAGTAATTGTGAAATGAAATGAAATGCCTTGTTTTCTAAATTTAGAAGCACGAAGGTTGATCGGCCTGTACCGTTCATCACACAAGTCACCAACCTGCTTAACCACTTTCTCACCTTTTGGTCTTGCCACTTCATAAATTCTCTCTTCCAATTTGCACTCTCCAATACCATCATCTCTCTCCCACTACTTCAAGTGAGAAAGAAGCAATCTCATTGATTAATATAGTCTTCCTGTATACTTCCTCTTATTGCTTTTATTTATAGAAAAAATTGTAACTTTTAGTTTGTTTTTTTTATCTAAGCAAACATATACTTTTTAATAGATATTTATTGCAAACTTTTGAAATTAAGCATCATAATTTTATCACTCATAATCATAAAAAAATTAATAAAGGCTTAATTAATGCAATTAATAAAGAGTATTGTAGTCCAATTTTTTTCAAACATAATTAATATAGTTAATCAATTTTTTTTAAAACTGTGTGATATTATTTTCTTCTCTTATAAATAAAAACGGAGAAAGTATATACTTTCTATTTTAAAAAAATAATTTACATTTTTAATATTTCAATGTACAATTGATTGTATTTTTTTTCAAAAACTCCTTTAATAAATATAGTATTTTTTAAATAAAACAGTATTAAATCAAGATAAATATAAAAAAATAATGTTAATTTAAAAATAATTAGCTAATTTATTGGAATGAGATTCGATTAAAAATATTTTATATCTTTAATGGAGGGAGTACTTATTATCTTTAATGCCATGGTATTTGAATTTGAAAGTGCTCTTAGCATCACATTTCCTAACCTAATTTTATCATAAATCTTAGTGATTACACACGCGCGCGCCTCGTGTAAGATTCCAATATTACTCCAACCATTTCAAAATAATTAAAGCTTTGGAGTCTTGGTGATGTGCACGTAACTTCAGATAGCTAATAAATAATCTAAATGTTAACAAAATAAAATGATATTTTACTCAAATGCCCTTATTTATTATAAATACTTCTCATTTTTATCGGACAGCAAAATTGTCAATGTCATAATCAATTCTTATTAATTCTCTATAAAAATTTATTAAATTTTTACCTTTGCTCTTATCAAATAGAAATATTTTAGTACTGTAATTTCTTTCACAAAAAAAAATTAAAATAAAAAGTAAATAACATGCTTTTATAAATAGGATTAATATTCTTTTTTTTCTCTACTCCATTAATAAAACCCAAGATAGTGTTTTGAAACTTAAATCATTGAAAGGACAGTTCAAAATCTCCTAACTATGCTTGTTGGGTATAAATTCAGAGTATCATCAGTAGTTGGGGTACAATACTGGGCTCCTGTTGAGTTGAGCTGAGCATGTACCGAAATAAAACGCTTTTGATTTGAGTGGTGCTCGTACAATATATGAAAATGCGTTGTCAGCATTGGCAATTTGGTGTCAATCCTAATTTTGAAATGAAAATTGCGTGTTTATGCAAGCGCTGAAATAAAGAAAACGACTGATTTATCGATTTTATGTTTCGTCTCAACGGAACACATAAACATTGCACTTGGCAGCGGCTTAATTAATCATTAGTTAATTAATAACTAATTAATTAACCCCTGGAGAGTGCTTGTTTCAGACAGCTCATTTATTAGCCGCAAGACAGGTAAATCACAGCCGTTAATCCCACTGACAGCAAGATCCCATTGCGGCAAATTCGAGACTTATGCTGTTTCCCTAGCATCCTCTTTACTTTGCTTGCAATTTTAATTCAGAAAGTTAGTTAAAGTGAAAATAGATCATTTATAGCACTTCTTCTTTGGCTCGTTCACGGCAGTTCATAGATTTTGTTGTTTTCCTTTAGTTTTCGCGCTGAGCTAATCTTTATTTATTTTATATTTATATATATTTGTATTTTTCTATTTACATATTTTTGGATCTGATTAATCATCCGTATATAAATGGCAAATGAAAACCCAGCTGGTAGGATCCAAAATAAATTTGTCCAAGACCGGAATTAGCGCTCTTCCCACATTGGTTTCTTGAATCTCACTGTTTAACGACCTCAACTGGTATGAACAAAAACCCTAATTCAACTATTTTTGGTTCAGTTTTAAGTTTTTCTCACTAAATTTAAGTCAATTTGCCCTTGTTTTTCTTAACAATTTTTTTCCGGGTTGAAAATCACATTTGTTTTCGCGTAGTCGGTGAGGTGTGGTTTTCATCGGATCTTGGTTGATTCTCTTACTTTCTGAGATTTGATTTTTTATGGCAATTTCCCTGTCTGGTTATTGGTAATCGCTGGGAACCTAGACATTATCAATGGTTGCAGTTTTGAGAAGAATCATTTCAACTAAATGTTTTCAGCAATCATATGGGCATTGTCAATTGTGATGGATTAATGAAGTGGATCTCCTTGAATTTGTGTTGCAGGGGATCTGACTAACTACTCGTCGGCGATCGGTCCTGCCAGAATTGGTACTTAGTCAATCATTTTGCAGTGGGCGTTTGCATACATCTTCGAAAACTTTGGGATTTTCCGTTAGTTTATACTCTTGTAGTGCTTCTGCATTGTTGATTTAGAATTTGGTATCGAAAATTCGGCATCTTTCTGGCGATACGTATTTCTTTGCCTTGGTGATGGGTTTTTGGTGAATTCGCGCTTCATGTTCTGTTCATTACATGAATGAGAAGGTGCGGCCACGTGGCAAAAGACAAGCAAGTTACTGGCGAAGAAGTGTGAGCTGTTGGTTCAATGCTTGCCGGAATATTGTTGATAAATGACAGCATATACGGAAGCCTGTATAGACGATTGACCCAATTTACAATTTGGCGGTCTTGAATTTGTTTGCAATATCAGTTCCACGATTCGGACATGAGAAGCTCCTGGTTTAATAAATTGTCCATAATTATTGGCCCTAGACTGCCGTTGAGCTGGTTGATGTTGTGCCTGATCAGTCTGCTTGCACTAATTGCAGTCTTAGGTTCGTCTTCTTCTAATAACATTGATTCAACACCACTCACTCGGGCATCTCTCATCTATTCAAACTACAGAAGGATAAAAGAGCAAGCAGCAGTTGATTATTTGGAGTTAAGATCTGTATCATTGGGTATCACTGGGCAAAAAGAACTTGACCTTTGTGGCAAGGAAAAAGAAAATTCTGTGCCCTGCTACAATGTTTCAGCAAATTTGTTAGCAGGGTTTAAGGAAGGTGAGGAGTTTGATCGGCACTGTGAAGTGTCAAGAGAAGTTGAGAGGTGTTTGGTTCGCCCTCCCAAAGACTATAAGATTCCCTTGAGATGGCCTACTGGTAGGGACGTAATATGGAGTGGAAATGTGAAGCTAACCAAAGATCAATTTCTTTCGTCTGGAAGTATGACCAAAAGGTACAGTTTTATTAATTTTAATTCTTACAGTGAGATATTGCCTTCCTTTGGTTTCAGCTATTTCATGGATTGTTCAACACAAAACCACAGCTTTAGCTTCTACAAGGTTTTTCTGCTTCAAGTGAAAATGAAAAATTTTAATTTCTAAAATTTCTTCAACTAATTATGTAGGTTGATGCTACTAGAAGAAAATCAAATTGCATTTCACTCAGAGGATGGATTGATCTTTGACGGTGTGAAAGATTACTCTCGTCAGCTTGCAGAGATGATAGGGTTAGGAAGTGACGCTGAATTTCCCCAAGCTGGTGTAAGTCTTCCTTATATGATCATTCACTAATTATTTTTTAAGTCTCATCAAGAGCCATACTCATTATGTTGGCTTCACTACATAGTGTGACTTGTCAATAATGATGATGTTATGACAGGTACGTATTATACTAGACATCAATTGTGGATTTGGTAGTTTTGGAGCTCATCTGGCATCACTAAAATTAACGGCAGTTTGTATTGCGGCATATGAAGCAACTGGCAGCCAGGTTCAATTGGCCCTTGAGAGGGGCCTTCCCGCAATGATTGGCAATTTTATTTCAAGACAGCTTCCTTATCCGTCTTTGTCATATGACATGGTTCACTGTGCTCAGTGTGGCATCATTTGGGAGGAAAAGGGTAACTTTTGCTTTCATTGGCTTTAAATTTTCACGTTTGCTAGAAGATTTCCTTTGGTACTTTATATCAAGTCTAGATTCCTCTTCTTTTTCGGATTGTCCTGCTTTTCTGTGTGTCAACTATTGAGTTTGACTGATCATTGCCTTTTTTGTACTGACTGATGGATTCAAAGTTTATTATCTATAATTCTGTTTTAGATTGAGGTTATAGTTGTCAAAAGTAGTATGAGAGAAGACAGATCAAGATGCATCATTTTTTATGTTGTACACTCCTAGGATAAAGATACATGTGATGAAGTTGTGCATTGGAGGTCAAAAGCAAGCAAGAGATAAAAGTCTTATAATGTCATCTGGCTTTACTGGGAGACAGAGAAAGTGCTAGTACCGGTATTGTTAATTTTCAACTGGTTCCACTGTTAATTTAGTGAAAAATGACTAAGAAATTTGAATTTTAAGGTGCACGCTGTATGGCGTTGAAGTACTTGTTTCAGAGGGAATTCAGTTTGACTTGCTTATTTATATAAAAGATGAAATGGTTAAAAAATTGCAAACGGATAGTGGGTTCTGTAGTTCCAAATATAAATTTCTTTCTAGCCGGTTTCCTGATAACTTCTTCATTAGTCTTTATGCATGATTATGCTTATTTCTGTTCTACGACCTGAACGCATCCCTAATTAACTACCCCTGTGTGGCAATCATATCAGCTTTTGTCATGCAGTCTGTATGTATTTTATGTTTATTTATGTTCTATTGCAAAATTAATATCTTGCTTTTGGCACATCTAATTACTCAAATTGACTAGCCAGTTGTTATAGATTCTTGTATTGTTCATCAAGAAATAATGTCTTTTTCCCCTTTTGTTCTTCCTTCCTTTCTTTTTTAATGCCATTTTTAGAAATTTTTTGTCCTGCTATGACTTCTTTTATATCATGTGAATATGGTAATAATTTAACCGTACTTTCTTTTTTGCTATCTAAAAATAAAAATGACCTCATCTGCAGACGGAATGTTCCTGTTTGAAGTTGATCGTGTTCTTAAACCTGGGGGATACTTTGTCCTAACCTTACCCTCAAGTAGGCCACGGGGAAGTTCATCACGGGTGAAGAAAAACACCATCTTGACCCCAGTGGAAGAGCTAACCCTAAAACTCTGTTGGACCCTTCTAGCTCAGCAAGATGAGACTTTCATTTGGCAGAAAACTGCAGATATTGATTGTTACTCATCTCGGTAAGGATTTTTGTGAAAATATGGCTCCTTACTTCATTAATGATTAGACTGCATATTTAAGATGATGAATATTAACAACTCTTAGTTGCGCTACTGCAATTGGTTTCCTGCTCCATTAAACACTCAATGAATTTTACTGACATTATTTTTATAGATTAAGGATGACATCTGCTATTTTCATTGTAGCGGGCAGCATGCTATACCTCTATGTAAAGGGCATGATGATAGTCAATCATATTATCAGCCTCTTGTACCATGTATAAGTGGGACATCTAGCAAGCGCTGGATTCCCATACAGAACAGATCCACTGAATCTGAACTAAGCCCTGCTGAGCTTAAAATTCATGGCGAGTATCACTTCTTAACAGTTTTGTCTAATCTTCTTTTCCATTCTTATTGATTTTCTTTCTCATATTTCTCTCTTTATTATACAGGAGTTCAGTCTGAAGACTTCTATGAAGATTTACAATACTGGGGATCAGCTCTTAAGAATTACTGGTCTTTGCTTACCCCATTAATTTTTTCAGACCATCCAAAGAGACCTGGAGATGAAGACCCATTGCCTCCTTTTAACATGATACGCAATGTGATGGACATGAATGCCAAGTATGGTGGTTTTAATGCGGCCCTTCTGGAGGAAAAAAAATCAGTATGGGTTATGAATGTGGTTCCTGCTAGTGCTTCAAATGTACTTCCTCTTATTCTAGATAGAGGTTTTGCTGGCGTTATTCATGATTGGTAAGTGGCTCCTTGTTCTTAGTTTTAGGCCTAGGTGAGTCGTTGAATGTGATCTAGACAAAATGTTTGTATGCAAGTGATTGATGAAATAGTGTAATTATACCGTTACCATCTTTCAAATTCATATTTAGTGCCTGTACTTACTAGCATTTCCTTATGTCGAACAACAATGGTTGCCTATGCTAGCTGAGAAAAATCAATTTCTTTATATTAGTTACTTTAAGATAATATATATATATATATATATATGATTCATGATGTCCTACTCAGCTTTCTTAATTTGGTTTCCTTTGGAGATATATCTGAAGATAGAAAGTAGCATGCATGTTTGCGCTTGATCTATTGGCTTGAAACCACTTGTCTTGGCTTCTGAAACATCCACTTCTTCTCTAAATTCTCTTCTCTTTGCCATTCGCACTTGTGAACCTCTCTAAAAAAATAAAGTCAGTACTACTTTCCAGGCTTCTGGTTAACTAAATGCTCGACGTTGCTATTGATTTTCAGGTGCGAACCCTTTCCCACCTACCCCCGGACATATGACTTGCTTCATGCTAATGGACTTCTTTCGCATCTTGCTTCAGAGAGGTGTAGCATGGTTGACTTATTCTTGGAGATGGATAGAATACTTCGTCCAGAGGTAACTATGTCCCTGCTCTCATGGTCATGATTGCTTTTCTAGGAAAAATATTTCATTAATAATTTGAACTCTCTATTATGCCAAAGAAAATCTTCCATTTTTTTTTTAACCAACCAAGGAAAATCTTCCATTTAAAAGCAGAAAACTAATTTGGCCCCTTCCTCTCTATTACATTTCCGTCTCTACTCATATCCTCCAGAAGCGCATGATCCACTGAATATTTCTTCTCAACCCCCTTGATTTTGATGCCTTGTGCTCACTTGTTTTGGCAATGCCACTATGCAATGTCAAGATAGTTCGTTGGAATTTTTTTTTCTTGGGTAAAAAGGCAAATATTAATAAGGAGCTTTTTGAAACAGTAGATCTTCATAGGAAAAGTATGAGAACTTTCACAAACTCTGCGATTTAAAACCCATTGCAATGCAGATCTCAAGACAACCTGCAAAGAAAAATTGAAGAACAAAGACCTTTCGGATCTGAAAGGTCTTTGTTTGAATGGTGGCAGTTGTCAGTATGTATCACATTAGAATGTCTCATTTAAGCCTAATATGTTGACATGTTGGTATTGTGGATTGGTAGGGATGGGCAATTCTTTCCGATAAAATGGGAGCTATAGAGATGGCCCGAAGATTTGCAGCACAAGTACGTTGGGAAGCAAGGGTGATTGACCTTCAAAATGGCAGCGATCAGCGGCTACTTGTTTGCCAGAAACCATTTGTGAAAAAATAATTGAGCAGCAGTATATTTCACCAAAGGCAGAATGACACATATTTTTTGCTCTGGTAATTACTCTGACCCTGTATATTGTATATCATATAACTAGTAGTTTAAAAGTAGAGGACATAGATGCATTAAAAGCCTTGTGTCGGAGATTTAGGTTTATTTATTTATTTATTTTTTTTGGGCGCTAAATTAGACATAGGATCACGATCAGTCTTCTCCGTGTATTATCACCTGAATTATTTTCCTGCACAATCTTATGAACTGTCATAACATATCTTCCATAGCTCCATTAATACACACAAAAGGGGTAACTTGGGTGGTTAGAGACAATATCATCTTTCTTAACTTGTACTCGCTTTCCTTAGATGGTATTTTGGAATCAAAATCTTGGATAGTTAAATATAGCAGGCCAATGTGAGAAACTATGCCCTTTGGGCCAGAGATGTAATTCTGGGCAAGGTCTGATGCCTAAACAAATTGCAATTTGACCTCTGTTTGGATTTGGAATGTTATGTTGAGGACCTGTCAATAAGTAACTCCTTCAATTTTATGTGATTAATTTGTTCAAAGCAGTTCCAGCTTATTTCATACTATGAACTGCTGTGAATTTGCTAAGGGGATATTTTGATGAATTTCAGAGAATGGATTGTTTAGTTGGCACGTGTATATAGAGCTCAGAGCCTTGATGTTTTCCCATCTTTTCGACAACCGGATTCAGAATGATGAAGCTGTAGATTGTGAAGGTTCGGGATGAAGTTAGCAACAGTTCTTTGTTCTTTTCTTTGTTCGTTCTTTGTTTTTTTTTTTGGGGTCAAAGGTGTTAGTAGTAATTCATTCATCCAATATCTTGGTTAGTTTTGCTTCTATTTTTTTTTTTTAATGATTTCATTATTGATCACCATTGGACTTGGAGCCTTTATTTGAACAATCTCTGGCAGTCTAGCAGTGGGGGCCAAAAAAAAAAAAAAAAGTGAATGGCTACGGAATCAAAGAATGAAATTAAGTTTTTATTTTCTCTCAGCCGATGTCCTCCAATTAGACTGGCTAAGGTTCGCTTTTAGGAAATCATCAGGACCTGTTTGACATGCACGATGGAATATAATGAAATTAATTTTAACAAGTGAAAAAATGAATTCAAATATGAATTATTATTAAAAACATTGCAAAAATAGGGGGGAAAAGACAACTAAGCCAAGTGCTCCTTAAGTAATGTTGAATAAGAAGGTCGATCCAAAACAAAACCACCTGGATGTAGTAATTTCAATTCAGAACTGGAACGCAATTGGGGGGTTAGTTTAGCTATAAATGTGGCACCTCTGATTCTCCAATCTCAATGTCAACTTGTAAATTGCCATCAGATACCAGATATTTTAACTTTGAAGTCATTTAGATGATATCCGATTGTGGCCAGCCCAAAACAATAACCAAAATTTAAACCAATAGTCGATTAAGTACATGAAGCTTATGCCAACACAAAAATCCAACGACGACTGGCTCACATCTAGCGGTAGAAGAGCCCAGAAATTAATTTGTTTTGCTGTCGCAGCACCCAAAGTTGTAGCAAAAAGTCTATGCCAGATGAACTGAACGCCAGAGGCCTCAATTATCTTTCAGATGGAAGAAGTGCCAAAACTGGAGATGCAGGGGATCGAACCCTGTACCTCTCGCATGCAAAGCGAGCGCTCTACCATTTGAGCTACATCCCCGTCTTGAATCCTAACATGTATAAACACATATTACTCTATACTCTTATCCTCTTCTTTTTTTCATCCCACAGTCTTCGATTTTTTTTTTTTTAATTTTTAGTTTTCAAAACATCACAGAAAAGCATGTGAACTTTTAGTTTTGGAAAATCTTCATCTAAAAGCAGTGAGTTGTCAGAATTGGGCATTCCAGTAAAAAAGTTTTAAGAGTAGAGGGACAAAGACTACAATAATAACGATACAATGATTTGTATATATTTTTTTTGGCCAAAATGATTTATATATTGTTAATAGTATTGAACGTACGAACATTTGTTAAGTTTTGGTGCATCTTTTTCAGGATATATGTAGAGGAAGAAGTTTAAAAAGTCCTTGTAAAGAAAATAGGGGAAAATGTAAACATGCGAAAGCCAATAAACAGATTTAAGGTTTTTTATTTTGGATTTAAAAAAAAACATAATACAGAAGTCAAAAGTTAAAGACTTAGTTCAAAAGTTTGTTTTAATGCACGAAAAATTAAGGCACAATCAATCAACCTATCTGGCTGTGTTCGGCCCAACTCAATTTGGACACGTTGCATCAGCCCATCTAGATCTCTCCGGAACAGATGAACACCATGAAGAATTTGTGTTAACTAAATCAAGAATATTACCTAATGGAAGTTAGAAAGGGATATGGATTAAATGCAAAGTCTCAAATATAGAAAATGTCTTTGGCAAAGCTATTCACAATTAGGCCTGATAATAATCCAATTCTCGAGAATATTAAATAACTATATCAAATTAAGAATATTAAGTGGGAGAAAATTGTTAAGTAAATTCTGAAGACCAACATTTTTTGTAGGTTTAATTTGATAATTTAGGACCTAATTTTTTTTAAAAAAATAAAATTACTACAAAATGAGCAACGCTTGCTCCATAACGATTTGCGCGGTTTCTCTTTCAAAACCTCTCATTGACGGTTCAGATGCGGTCTTCCTCTCTCTCCTCCACTGCTTGCTCCGTCTTCAACTTGTTTATAAGCACTCTACCACAAACCTCCCTTCTATTTTTCCCTCATCTTCGCTCTACGGGCCTTTGCTTGCAGCAGTTTCCCATTTTCCCTCTTTCCGACTTCGTGCTCTTTTTTGGTTCTCGTTTCATCCTCTCATCTCTCTGAAACAATGTCGGCCGAGAAGGAGAGAGGCGGCCACGTTTACATGGCCAAGCTCGCCGAGCAGGCTGAGAGATATGAGGGTGCGTTCCTCCCTCCCTCTTTTGGGTTTATGTTTTCGATGTCTACATTTTTCTGGATCTGTCTTCTGTTTGGTCTTGTGCTTGTGTTGGATTAGATGTTGGCTTGGCTTTCCCGTTTCTTTTCCTGATTGATTGGAATTGCGGCTTTGGACGCAGCGCATTTTGTGTTTGGATTTGGGTTTTTTGGTTGCTGTTTATGAATCGGATTGTAGTTTTGGAAAATTTTCTTGGTAACCCCGTTTTCTTGACCCGTATGTGGCTGATGAATTGCTGGGTAATTTGTTTGGATTGTATTCAGTTTCTAGCTCCTTTATTTATTAATCACGCATGTCTGGTGAAAGATGGGAAACGATTCTACTGCGGTGATTTTGGGAGCTGAAATGGATTGATGCATTTTCTTTTACTTTCTTGATTTCTCGATTTCCTTTTCACAAAATTGGTTCCAGAACGGCATAACCCACTTTGGGTGGTTATTTTGAAAGCTGAAACAGTGGAACAGCTTGACGGCATTTTCTTGTTTTCTTGATTTCGCCTGTTCCTTTTCAATATTTGTTCTATAATGCCTACTCTTTGACGCATGATTTACTTGATCATGCAAGGGATGTATGCTCTGGTAAAAAAGATTGTCTTCTTTTTTACCCGACCCTTTTCTTCTTTTCAATCTTTAAATCATGTACCTTCTTATCGCGTACCCTTTTGTTTATACCTGGCCTTACGTAGAAGAGAATGAGAATAATCTATAAATAGGATTTTTGTCTTCTGTTGCATTTTTCAAAATTTATGTATTTGCCTGATTAGGAAGTTTTATCTCGTTAATGTCGTGTGATTTTGCTCCTTGGGAAAATAAAAAAGGTCTTGTAATTTAGGCTTAGAATCTATACTGTATGAGATTAATTTTATCGCATATGGTAGTGTGTAGTGACGTTGATGACGAGTTCTTGCATGTATATGGTAAACTATTTAAAAATTTTAAGTACATTATAGATGTAATGAAACGTAAAATTTATCATGCAGAAATGGTTGACTTCATGAAGAAAGTAGCAGAGCTTGATCTTGATCTAACTGTGGAAGAAAGGAACCTCCTCTCAGTAGGATATAAAAATGTCATTGGTTCACGGCGAGCCTCATGGCGCATAATGTCTTCAATTGAGCAGAAGGAAGAATCTAAGGGAAACGAACAAAATGTCAAACAGATCAAGCATTATCGCCAAAAGGTTGAGGAGGAACTATCCAAGATTTGCGGTGACATTCTGACAATCATTGATGAGCATCTGATTCCATCTGCCTCATCAGGGGAAGCCACTGTTTTCTACTACAAGATGTGAGTGATGTTGCTGCTGTGTTAAGTTCCAGCATTGGGCAACTTAATTGATTTATCAGTTCCTTTCCTTGTCAGATGCAATTGATTGCATTTGTTATCACATTGGTTTATTTAATGTTTGTTTCCTCCTATTGATATAAGAAGATTTTCCAGACCATGGAGTGAGAGAGAAAGAGAGAACCTGTGTGAATGTGATAGTTTGTTATCTTTTGTCGCCAAAATCTGTCGTCCTGTTTATCACATGATGCGCGTAGCAATCGCAGGCTGCCGGCCTTATTTGACCTTAGTCCTCTACAGGAAATCCAAATACAAAGAGTCATGGACCAAACAGTTTGTTTTCTGTTCTTTGGATTGTGTGACACGACATCTCTTGCCTCACAATTGGGCTCCCTATCCCTGATCTCTTTCTGCATTTTTCCAGGAAGGGTGACTATTATCGGTATCTTGCTGAGTTCAAGGCGGACGAAGAAAAGAAAGAGGCAGCTGATCAGTCACTGAAAGCATACGAGGCATGTGTTTTTCATCTCTAATAGATGAATTGGTTCATACAAAAGTTTATATTTAATAATTCATTGCACTGCCGCTTGATGAACACAACCATTTCTATTTTTAGGCTGCTTCAGCCACTGCAAACAAAGATCTTCCATCAACACACCCAATCCGTCTTGGGCTTGCACTCAACTTCTCTGTCTTCTATTATGAGATCATGAACTCTCCTGAAAGGTATTCCACTGATTCTCTCATAATCTATAGGCACAAGTTCCTTTATTGTTAGCTTTTGCACTGATGCCATTGCTGAAACTTGCAGGGCCTGTCATTTGGCTAAACAAGCCTTTGATGAGGCAATTGCAGATTTAGACAGCCTGAGCGAAGAGTCATACAAGGACAGCACTTTGATCATGCAGTTGTTAAGAGACAACCTGACTCTCTGGACCTCTGATCTGCCTGAGGATGGAGGTATGATTGATTGAGACTTGATATCAGATACATTTGAGTGGCTTCATCTTGCTGAACAATGATGTCTCAAACCAAATCAAGGGGCTGCGCCTAGAGATATAGTCTCATGGCAGCTCTCTCCTCACCTCCCACCCATCCCGCCCTTTATTCCCTTCATTATGTATGTGGCTGAAGCTGTTTCAGCTTTTCCTGGTTGTTCGCTCATAAATTCACTTACAATTCTGCTCACATGGAAGCTCTAATGCCGAAATGCTCTCATGCAGGTGAAGAGAACGGCAAAGCTGACGAGTCCAAACCTGCTGAACCCGAGGTATTTATTGAATATGATGCTTTCTAGGCCATATTCACATGATTTTTCTATCGGCCAAAGTACTGATATACTCTGTTTTGGCAGAAGGAGCAGAAGGAATAAAGTACTGATAAACCTGTACAATGCGGACTGTGACCACTTCATTATATCCATTGAAGGCCAGAGAAGTTGGGTTTTGGGCTGTCCTGTTATTTTCAACTTTTTCTTTCTACCGCTTTATTATTCTTTTCTAGTGAACTGGCCAGTTTTAGTGAGGGATTCTTTACATGAACTCAGTTTACTTTAAGCATCTTTTCTTTTGTGCTCATTAGTTTTAAGATGATTCAGTTTATCATCGTTTTGTTTTGCAAGTAGAAAGTCGTTTCTTTTACTCCCTGAGTGTTTCCCGGAATTTGGACATATTTTTTCTTTTTCTTTTTATGTTTTTAACTATTGAGCGTTTGATAAAATTTTGTCTAGCCTTGTACCAATCAGAAATCTGGTCGCCTCTGTAAATAGGAGCCAGGACAGATTGATTAAAGTGAGTTCTTTGTATATGCCAGGAAGAATTACCTGGGCTTTCCTTCTAGTTTGGTTAGCGGGTCAGTTGAGTACAAAATATAAATTTAATATATACTTCACTTAATAATAAATTAAATTCATGCACAAAATTAAACATTACAAAAATGAAATATAATTTACTTAATTTTATATTATAAGGATTATGCTATGAAACGTTGGATAATAAAAAAAAAAAGGAATTGGTTGACATGGTCTGCATAGCTTAAAAATAGGAAAAGTACACTAAAGGACTGGCGACGTTAGTTAGTGTTTATTGAAGGATTATAAAATTTGGGAAAAATTAATTATTTAATTCCTGTAATTTTAATTTAATTGTAACTCAGTCTTTAAATTTTGATTTGTTGTAACTCAGTTTTTATATTTTAACTTGTAATTTAATTTCTAAACTTTGATTTTTGTAGCCCATTTTCTACAGTTTTTAATCATTTAAAAAATAAACTCATAAAGTCTAAAGCTATTTAAAATTTTTAATCTTTATAAAAAAAATAAAAGGTTTCAGTAATTTAAAATATTAATACTAAAATTTAACATAATTTTAATATTTTTAATTTTATTCTTTTAAACATGGGGCCAATATTTTAAATGGTTAAAATTATAAAAATTAAATTATAATTGAGTTAAAATTATAAGATTTAAATTATAAGTTAATGTTTAGAGATTGAGTTATAACCATTTCAAAATTACAATGATTAAATAATTAATTTTTTTCAAAACTTATATATATAGGCTGAAGAACCTCGCTAAAAAACATAACAAATGAACTATAATGGCTCAGCTTCTCAACAAATTAAAATTAGTCCATTATACAATCTTGCTAGTTATTTTTGAATGATCAATGAATAAACCAATTGATTTAATACACATTTCTATGTAGAAAGAGTGTTTTTATGTGAAATATAATTTAAAGCATGTATTAAAAGCATTGACTGAACTTTTGTTTTGGTCTCTAATAAATAAAATGGTTTCACTTTAGTCTGTTGGAGATAAATTTATTTTTAGTTATTTCTTGATTTTTTATTTCATAAAATCAATTTTTTGATGATATCACAAACATCATTTATGTGCTTATTTCGCAGTTGTTGCCTTGGAATATGAATATTTGTAAAAACTGATATGATCGTTGTTATATACTAATTTGTGGTGCATTTTCAGATATTTTTATAGGTGAATGAGTGCATGACTTGTGTTTGTTTCCCTGACAAGATATATAATGAAAAATTGCAGAATTGTCCTAACACAAACTTATATTGAAAATAATGCAAGTGGTATCATTTTTTATTTAAAACATAGGTCCTTGCCCGTCCATACGTGTCTAATTTAGATTTTAGAGATTAAAATAGCGTGTGTGTATTTGCTTTTTAAGTCTGACTTTTGCCTGTAAAATAGTTTTTAAAGCTGAGTCACAGATGATGAGATGTGATGATATTAATGAATAATAAAAATAAAATAAATAGGTGATGAAGTGAGATGGAGTAATTTAATGAAAGAATAACAGTTAAGTTTTAAAACAATGAATTAATATTAATTAAATTTATAAAAAATAAATTAAAATTATCAATTTAAATTATTATAAATTTAAAAATTTTAATTATAAATAAATATTTAAATATAATTTTTAAATTATAATAAAATTTTTTATTTATAATCGTTTGAATTGATATTTATAATTTATTTTATAAAAATTTTTATTAAAAATTTAATTGTCATTAATTTATTTTTTAAGACCTAACAGTTATTTTTTTAATTTAATTATTTTAGTTGCTGAAAAAAGCAAGAAACTTGCGCCATCTTTAAGGTGGGGAGCTAATACTGTAAGTGCTTTTGGAAAGAGCCAACAAAATAATAATAATTAAAATGAGGACTCTTGGAAGCCAATAATTCACACTTTGTTCTGAGACTATGACTGTGAACCTCTCTCTCCCTCACACCAAGCCACCAAGGTGCAACTCTCGCTTATTGAAAACGTCATTCATCATGGTTTTGCCTTGTCTATTTTCCGTTATGTTTTCAATACTATACCGAATATTAAATTATAAAGGTTAATAGTTTATAATTCATATAGTTAAATCAAATTGAATCAATAGTTAAATTAATAATGTAATAATTAAATTAAAAAATTATATATGTATATAATAATTTAAATATAAAAGATATATATAAAATTGCTACTTAATTTAAAAATAAAATTAAATATTTTAAATTATAATCACTTAACAAGTTATATTATATAATATAATATTAGATGATTAAAAAAATTAATCATTTTTTAAAAAAATTGATAAAAAATAAAAAATAATTTTTTGAACAATTTGTTTTTAAAAATTGAATTTGGTTCTCTGTCTGACCGTTAGTAAAAAAAAAGACTCAACTCTCAAAACGACTTTTACATACTAGCCTAAACAAAATCCATATCAATTGATGGTCCAACCGTCTAGTTTGATCCAATTTCTTATTCATTGGTTGCCACATTATCATCAATATGGATATTCTTAATCTTTTGGCTGCAAGGATTGGAGTGTCTCTTGCTTTGACTCCCAGAAAGGGTAACCGTGTTTTGGATTCTCCTGCTGCTGATGCTTTTAAGGGAGTGAATCCGATAGCAGTACTGTACTGCTATTGAAGTTATCATCAATTTCTTTATCTTGTTGTCTTAATCTCTGATGCCATTGAAGTTAAGGATTCCAGTACTGTACTGCCTCTCCGTCTAGCAGATTAGGAATTGGCTAATGCTCTATTTTTCTGCTTGCTTTGTTTTGTTTGTTACTTTTTTGTTTTCGTTGCTTGTAAGACTCTGTTTGTAGCCCTGTTGCTACCTTTTGCAGTACCATGATGCATTTCAGACCAAAAAATATTATCATCAATATCAAATAAAAAAAAAGTTTAAACGTCATAAATAATGCTATTAATTTCATAAATGCATGCGGCCCACCTTAAATACAACTATAAAGTGAGTAATATATTTTTTAATAAAAAAAATAATGCTTCTCCGGTTCCTATTTCTAACGAAAGTAAAAGATCTATGTAGAATGTATAAATTATTTCTAAAAATTACGTAACCAAGTCAATATCCACGGGACTTATTTTTAAAAATATTGTTGAAAATAAGTTATTATTATATTTAAAAATTTAAAACATGACAAATATTTAGTAACTAAATAAAAAACAAATCAAAAGGACAAGTAAACAGGGGATGAGAAAGTATAAAAAATCATTCCAATTATTCTTGCCGCATATTCCATATAGTTGTGTAGAGGATATATACGTGCAATATTCCTTTCGCAATCAAAAAAGCAAATTGCTTTATTAAATGTAGTATTTGTCATAATTATAATCACTGTTTTACATCTAAATTGTGCACTCTCGAGCTCGCTTTTGCCTCTAACTTCTCCCGACTCTGTTATAACTTATGACTATGCGAATTTGGCTCCTCTATTAAGAAATCAGCATTGTAAGGATTTTGAGTTTTCTGCAATATCAGAATCAGAACACTCTGTTCTCTTCCTTTCTCAAATTCTCACTGCTTGTCATTCCGTTTTCCTTATAATGATCATAACATCCATTTTGGGTTAGTGTGTCTCGTCAAAAGATATTCCTTTTTTGCAAATAATTAATTGTTCCAGATCCTTGGATATCTATATCCACCACCGTTGGGGATCAAAGAGTGTTTTCTTTGTATTTTTTTGCTTCGTGAAATTAAGAATGTCTTCTGCAAGGAACCCAGTTCTCTTTTCAGTTCAAAGACCTCGAATTTCATCGCTTTATTTACTACCTAGAAGAATTTCGACCAACCATGGTTTGCTTAAAGCCCGTTCCCTTGAGCCTAAAGACTCAGGTTTGGCGTTTTCGCCATTGTCGGAGAATGGGAAGCATCTGGGAATTTTGCATCCTGGGAAGCCGTTGGGGTTGGGCATGTTTGGTTGGGATCAGCAGCTAAAACGACGACGTTTTGTTGGATTTCCTGTTGTTGCAGCGGCAGCTGCAGATGCTGATGGCGTTGAGATCAACATCTCCGATGGGTTAGAGGCTCTCACAGTTCAACCTTGTTTCTTTTTCTTCTGACTTGAGTTCAACCTTGATTCAATAGTGGTCAAATTTTTATTTTTATTGTTTTTAAATACTTGTCTGCACAGCGAGAAAGACTGTCCAGTTGAACAAAAAGGAGGGGTTTAAAAAGGAAAGGAAATTGTGAAAAGTTGTTGTTTTATGATAAGATAAATTATTAAAAAAAAAATCTCTGGGAGCCAAAGAATTCTTCTTCTTTTTTTTTTTTCATGTTCAGTTTCTATAAATAATTATGATTTTTCCTTGTTGCCTAATTACAGGACTGTTAAGGCCCCAAAGAGTTTTGGCGAGAGGTTTCCAGCGCTAGTTACTGGTTTCTTTTTCTTTATGTGGTAAGGATCTCCCTTTTCTCTAATTTATCTTAAGGTGTGGCACGAAAACATACTAAGAAGGACATTTGATCTGTAGATTACATTTTGAAATTTCAAGGAATTATCACCAACTTACTTAATCGCGCCTATTTTTGAGTCAGATTTTCACTTATAATAGATAAAAATATGGAGAACTAGACCAGGCCCAACATGCTATTTCTTTTTTAATATCAGCTGAGGTAGGAATTTATATGCTGAGTTTCTGACAGTGTCCTCTCTCTCATGCAGGTACTTCCTAAACGTGATTTTCAACATACTCAACAAGAAAGTTTATAACTACTTCCCGTATCCCTAGTATGTTTTCCGCCAGAGGCGACTTCTTTCCTTTACACCTCTGTGTTTGTGGGCTCATAATATTGTAGTTATCTAATTTCCTGATAGAAATGCTTTAGCTTTTCTGATCTAACATCCCTTCATACTATTTTGCAGCTTTGTTTCTGTTGTGCATCTCCTTGTTGGTGTGGGATATTGCCTTGTTTGCTGGGCTGTGGGTCTACCAAAACGCGCTGTGAGTGCTAGTTCTTGTTTGTTATATCTCTGCGCGCGCGTGTAGGTATAACATTCATTATAACTGATATTTTCCCCTGTTTAACCAGCCAATTGATAAGGAGCTGTTGGCACTATTGACTCCAGTTGCATTTTGTCATGCCCTTGGTCATGTCATGTCCAATGTATCATTTGCTGCTGTTGCTGTGTCTTTTACTCACACTATAAAAGGTACGAGAGTTGGGAAGATGAAGAGAAAATCAGAGATTTCTTAGGTTGATTTTATGCTAAACTAAATTCTCTCGTTTGTCATTTTCTGAATGTGTCGGTCCTTTTTCCCGTCATGCCTGTGCTGCAACATGATGATTATATTGGAATTATTTTTATTCTGATTTTAACAACGCTCACCAGCCCTTGGTTACATCTCAGGATTCATTAGGGTAATCCCCAGTTGTCATTTGAAGAATAAATAAATTATACGCGATTCATTGCTGTTTATTATCAGGTTTTTTCATAGAATTGTGACATGTGATGTTAAAAAAAGTCCCCGCGTGTGTTTTTAATTTTGGGTAATCTGATTATAGCACCTAATAAACCTTGCCCCAATGTTTGTCCACTGTCATAACTCACCTTGGCCGATGGCAGTGCTGGCACAGGATAAAGTTGTCAGATCTTTGGCACTTGTTTTCCATTTATGTTTGAAGATGAGAAATGAATTAAGGGTTGAGTTACTTTCCAAAGAAAGCTCCATTCAATGAGTTTCTACTTTCTATAAAATATCTTTAGTTACAATATCTCCGAAATTTCAAATTTGATTAATTGGTTTTAACATCGGTTTGTTCCTTTTATTGTTATGGTTATTTCCAAGGGCATTATGAACATCCATTTATATATACAACGATTGAATAAGTGCTCTGGTTAAGCAATCACTGCCAGTGTCTTGATTCTCTCTATTTCTATTCCTTCAGCTCTGGAGCCGTTCTTCAATGCTGCAGCTTCCCAGTTTGTCTTGGGCCTTCAGATTCCATTGTCTCTGTGGCTATCCTTGGCCCCAGTTGTTATCGGTAATTCTCTAAGATAATAGTCTACTACATGCATTTTTGTTATTTTGTCCTGAGTAATCTCCTGTTTGCTTAAACATATCTGTTAACAGTTTTACTCAAATACTGGCCACTTCTTTGAACTTTACAAATATCATCTGTCAGCTGATGAGAGCTTTCACTTCAGGTGTATCGATGGCATCACTAACTGAACTTTCTTTCAACTGGACTGGGTTTATAAGTGCGATGGTTTCAAATATAGCATTCACATACAGAAGTATATATTCAAAGAAAGCAATGGTAAGATCTTATATAGCGCCTGACTCTTTTTCACCTGATTTGTGCATTACAGTTTGTATTTAAGTGTCCTGGCATGTGCATGTCTACAGTTTCAAGTTCCTTAATATTATTTATTAAACTATTCATGAATTGGTCTTGTGACGATTATTTAAGAGGAAACAGATAATAATTATAGCTGATTTGGATGAATGCAAGTGTCCTGAGTTTGTTGAGGCAAGTGGATTGTGTTGACTCAGAATTTCAACTAGTTATTTCATCAGACAAAGATGCAATGAAGAAGATTGTGTCAGTAAGATTTACGTGAACACTTCAATAGACTTAATTTTTGTGACTTTATCATATGTGTACACACCATTAGGCCAGGAATATCTAAAAACCTCAACAATTGGACTAGATCTTCTATAACATGGTAGTAGTCACTCCATAGGCACAGCTCTAGTGGTCAATTTGAATATCAGGAACTCATGAAGTGCGTTTCCATAACAGAACCAAGTTGATATAATTTGATTATTAATTCTTTTAACTAGTATTTGTTTTTTAACAGACAGGAATGGACAGTACTAACGTGTACGCCTATATCTCAATAATTGCTCTCTTCTTTTGCATCCCTCCGGCAATCTTTGTAAGTTTATCTGATACAATTACTGATGGATGAATCATTTTTTCCCCCTGTTGCTTCTCTATAAATTCATTATTTATTGGATGTTTGCTGCTTCCAGATTGAGGGTCCTCAACTTATGGAATATGGTTTTAGAAATGCTATTGCCAAAGTAGGCCTGATCAAGTTTTTGTCTGATCTATTCTGGATCGGAATGTTTTACCATCTATACAATCAGGTATCCCTTATGCTGGATCTTAAAACTTTGACATCACAGTTTGATTAATAAACTTGGACTAACTCCGGACATTACACCTGCAGCTGGCTACTAATACTTTGGAACGGGTTGCACCGCTGACACATGCTGTTGGAAACGTGTTGAAGCGAGTTTTTGTCATCGGGTTCTCCATAGTGGTTTTTGGTAATTACTGTTTTTCTTATAACTAAAAATTCCACATCATCAGAACTTAAAAGACATGCAGTAAATTTGGGTGGCAGTTACAGACTGGAGTTGAGAAATTTCAATGTTCTGATAATTGCAAAACTTATGCAGGCAACAAAATATCCACACAAACTGGCATTGGCACTGCGATAGCAATAGCAGGCGTCGCCATCTATTCTTTGATAAAGGCGAACATGGAAGACCAAAAAAGGGTTAGCTTTTACTCTGACCTTTTCCTTGAAGTTTCGTTCAGCCCATTATGCAATGCTAAATTTGTTTATTATTGGTTAATAAATGGATCTGCCTTCATAAAACAAGCCATTTTAAGCATCATGTTGAAAACTACTTATCTAATGGAACTTGTTACTTGATTCCAAATCATTTCCTTCTCAGCATCACCTATGTACAGTTCATGAGTTTTCCACAGCATGGTAATGTGATTCTTGGGTTGATCTGGCCTACTAGACTTTATGGGTCTCACTGATACGCTTTTATATATGTCTGTGATGCGTTTTCAATTCCTTACTGAATTAATGTGCTTTCAATTAATTTCAGAAAGCTGCTTCTGCTGTTTCATCGTAAGGGGTATTCTTGGACTGGTTATGCTATAGACCATGTTACGTACGTTACGTGAATGCATTGGCAGACGCAAGTCTCATTGACTTTTATATTTATACACAGAGGTGTATCAGTATTATGTATGGAATTAATCCTTCTAACTAGTAAGCTTTTGATGATGGATAGTACCATGAAAATAAATCCCACTAAGAAATATGGGGTTGCATTTTACTTATTCAAACTTTATTTTGGGTATATATTTGCTGCCAGTGACAGACCTACGTTGAGCATAGAGTGGCACTTGCCCCCACTAAGAAAGAGAAAACTTCACACATAAGTCCTCCAAAAATTATTCTTGCCACCCCTCTTCTCACAAAAACTAAATTTTGCCCCTCCTCTTCTCACAAAAATTTTATTTGTCCCTATTTAACGTTTTAAAATGTCAAATATATTTTTTGGTTCACTCAAACATGTATATATTTAAGGTATATTTTTAAATATTTGTTATGAAAATAAATATTGTAAAAGTAACTTCCTCCATTAAAAAATATTGGATATTTTTGATAAAATTTTACTATTTAATAAAATAATTATTTATTTTTAAATTAACCTTATCTTTTCATGTTATTCTTATTTAATAGGGTGTTTTACATTAAAAAAAATATAAAGTGACTTATTCAATAAGAGTATTTTGAAAAAAAAAGATAACAGTTATTCCTTAAAAGATTAAAAATATTTTATATTTTTTAATATTTAACTTTTTAAAAAAATATTTTATATTTTTTAACAGATTGAGTGTATAATAAAATAAAGTTTCATAACAAATTATGGTATAACAATGATATGTTCTTTAATTTTGTAGTCTCATGAAACTATTTAATTTTAATAATTTTTTAATTATAAATATATATATATATATGGTTTTCGGAAAAAAAAAACAATAGTTATATATATATATATATATATATATATATTTGCAGAAGAACAGCAGTTATAGTTTTGCCCTCACCAATTTGATTTTTTGAGTTCGTCACTGTAAATTATTGCTGTGACATGATCCCTGAATTTGACTAAGCTTGGCATGGTTAGGTACTTGAAAAGATAAAAATACTATGTTTCATATGGTCCAAAAAAATGTGAAAACTTAATCTAGTGAAAGAGAATATCAAGCGTCCATCGGAAAATCTTACTTTTTACATACAAAAAACAAGATTTTACTTTTAGAATATTAAAAGTTATTTAAATAAAATATTTTATAAAAAAATACATCTAAACAGCAATTAAAAGTGAAGAGAAACATTTGAAGCTTTTGCAAGGTGCTTTTAAAATGTGATCCTTTTAATTTTTGATTTGATCATGTTACTCTAAAATTTTAAATGATTCTTCTACATTTAATCTTTCTTTATATTTTTATCACAAAAAATTTCTCTATATTTTTTTACTTGTGGGGCTATTTTTATACAATTATTTTCATTTTACTATTAATATTTCAAGTGTGGCGATTCAATTAGAGATTAAATTATATATTATAAATTGAACAACTAATCATGTTAATTTTTAATATTAATGTATGTTGAACTATTTATTATATAATTTTTTTAACATATAAAACTTGATACTTATTATTATTATTTAACATATCAAATTTTATGTCATTCAAAAATTTTATCACATTTTTAAAATATTTTTAATATATTATATTTATATAACAAAAATTACAAATCATCATAAATTAATATTTTTTTATAATTATATATTTAAAAACATATTTCACTATATATAATTCAAATAAATTTTAATTTATTAAAATAAATTTTAAAAAAATATATTTAAATATAAATTTTGTTACAATAACTAACTTTTACTTAATTAATTTTTATTAAATAAATTTTGATAAATTAAAAACAAAACAACCACTAAGTCGTCCATGTGTGTGTGTGTGTGTGTGTATATATATATATATGTATTGTAGCAGATCCGATAGAGACATATTTTGAAACTTCTAGGAAAATAGAAACTAAAGGTAAACAATAAAACTATGATTTGTTGCTTAAAATGGAAAGGTAAAGTATGCGATGAACAAGAAACTTCAAAATTTCCAATAGTCTCTATGACTAATAATAAGTCAATAGATCTTCCCAGAGAAGTGATGAGATGTTGATTTTGATTAGACGTGTGCCAGTGAAACCTCTTTCTTTCTTTCTTTTTTTCGTTACAGTGAAAGTATGAAACGTCTTTCTTTGGTTAGCTATTAACAACGAAGAAACCCCCCTTTATTGTTCATGATCAAAGAAATTAGAAGAGTCGTGCTGCAGAATTTAGATTATTATTTATTACTCACTAGCATGCATGCCTTTAGACAAAACGATTCATGCTAACTGGTTAGTTTACAACGCACATAATTAATTTGGACGTGGATATCATGATTCATGTAGATTTTTTCGAATTAGATTGTATAAATCGTTCACAGGCTAACATGCATAAAGAGCATAATGTTGAGAAAAAATGACAAGTAGAAATTTTGTAAGGAGATTATTAATAATTACAGACCTTAATTTATTAAAATTTTAATAACAAATCATGATCCTTATTTGTAATAAATTATCTTTTATTGATTGGTTTAAAATTTATAACACACTTTAGTAAATTTTTAATTAATTAATGTTATAAAAATTTTCAACCATCTTTTGTTAATTTTTCAAATGATAGCAAAAGAATTATAAGTGATTGACTTACAATTCACAACTAACTTTCATAAATTCTCAACTAATGTTACAAATAATTTTAAATATATTTAGTAAATTTTTCAAGTGATTTATCTAAATATTGAAAGTAAAAAATCATAAATAATTGGCTTGTAATGTACAATTTATTTTTGTAAATTTTCAACTAATGTTATAAATAACCCCAAGTATATTTAGTTAATTTTTTAAATGATTTATCTATATCTTAATTGCAAAAAATTGAGATTCTCAATTAACTTTCATAAATTCTTAATTGATATTGCAAATAGTCTCAAATATAATTAGTAGATTTATCAATTAAGTATTCACATTTTTTTAATTACAAATAGGAATCATGGTCTTTTATTAAAATTTCAATAATTTAATATATGTAATTATCATTAACGTTCTTCTAGGTTCCTAATTGTCATTTCCCCTAATGCTAATTTTATAGTTTAACCGCATAACCTTATTTTTCTTCCAAAAAAAAAAAAAAGACGTGCCTGCAGGTCCAAAATATAGATGTGATTGGGGAAAAATATATTAATAAACATTTTTATTGTGAAAATTCATGACTGAATTTGCTGAATATTTTTACTTTCCATTAGAACGTAGGGATTTCATAATTTAAAGAGCGATAATATTTACTTTTTTATTTTTTTTCTCAACTTTTCTTTCCGTTCAAATTGAAGATAGATGAAACTCATTGTGCAAGCACTATTTACAATGATAAGGATGAACTTCATGTGGTTTGCTGGAACTGCTCTACAAGAATAAATCCACAGTACTTTTCTTTAGCCTGCTTTAGCGTGATGATGCTCATTTGGATTCTCACTGGACCATTCAATCAACATATAGCATCATTGAATATTTACCGTCTTTTGCTTCAACAAGTTGCTCAAGCAGTCTGCAGGACCAAAAGTGCGACATTGAAACATGATGTCAAATCACTTCCGCGAGCTTACCAGGCTTTATATGTAATTTTTTTTCTTTTTAAAAATATTTGCTCTAGATTAAAAAAAAAAGAAAGAAAACTATTATGTACAGGCAGTACACTCAGTACTAAATAAGAATACGATGAAATATGAATAATTAAATAGATGATGCTCTAAGCTCAAATCCTCCTTCAAAGATTCAAATAAAACTCAAGTTCAGAGGAAAACTCTTGTATGCTATTCAGTGAGATAGTACATGTACAATCTATCAGTTAAGTATCTAATGGCTATACAACAGGGCTTCAGTTATCACAAGCTAACCAAATGTACAACTCCTGACCAAATTAAAAAAAAAAATGCAATGAAACCCTAAAAATTCATGAAATCAATATAACCAGTGAGGGAAGAAAGGAGACACCACACAATTCCAAAATCAAACATATATTCGTAACTTGCAATAGATTTTATATTAAATATATTGAATCCAAATATCTATACATATACATATAATATATATATATATATATATATCTATTTTATATATTTATATTAAGAGCATGAAGCCATTTGACTAATAAAGAATACTGGTGGGCTTATATCGGGTTCCATTAAGAGCATGGAAAAGAGGCTAGTTGATTAGTAATTCCTCCAAAGACGTTAAGTACCATGAAGAACTGTGAAGAATCAAGAGTGCGCTAAAATCAAAATTTTGGAGCCATTGAGAAAAGAATAACAGTAGTGTTTACCTTAACATTATCTCGTGTATTTGGATTTGACCTACAATTATTAGTCAACATTCAAATAACTGCTACAAAATGCACTTCTTTCTTTCTCCTAGGACAACCCTATCGTTAACGTCCTCTTCCAATTCAATAATACAAAAATGAAAAGCTGCAATAAATAAGCCATTCTTTCCTCATCCTGCCTCGGCTAACGATCTAACACCATCCGGTAATGTACATACAGGGATTCTCTCCAAAAGGATGGGGTATAAGATTTGCCGATTTTCTTAGATTACTTCTTGGAGATAAATAACAAGATCTGCAACAAGGAAAACACCTCTAGATTGATACAAAGAGTAGATCGAGGATCACGCAGCATGATTTCAAGGAAAAGCATGAGATGAAACCTTTTGTTTTACCAAAAAACAAAAGAAAGATGAAGCCTTGTAGAACTTTCTTTTAATACAAGGCCATGGTAAAAACCATGCAGGGACCTTATAGAACATTAATGCTCATACATTCCACCCCATGTGTGTGTGTGAAGCAGAATGACTAGGAAATGTGAACCAAAATGAATGCATTACTACCCGTCTGAAAGTAAGTGGCATCAAGGCATGCGAGGGACGAAGGTAACAATTCAAAATTTGTGCACGCCAGTAAAATGTTCCAAAACTTACAATTTTAAGCATAATCCATGCTGTAATCAATATTGAATAGGATGTCTCGACGGGCTTCTGAACCCATTCGAATGTTCAGAGAGTTGGCAAGGGACTGAACTCTGTCATCACTCTCATAGTCCATTTCTCGCATGCATCGCCTTCGAACCTTTTTTAACATCTCTTTTGTAGGTTCAAATCCAGCAGCCACCTACCAGCAAGTTTAATATAGGTTATTAATCGCCTAAAAAATCACCACATTATTACAAAACTAAAAATAAATTGCACTAACCATATCATCAATTACAGCTAGAGCATCTTTGGCATTTCGGTTCATGAGATGGGCATCCACAAGAAGAGAATATGACATTGCATTTGGCTTTACACCCAAGCTCACAACATGCTCAAACACCTTAGTTGCTTCATGTGTCTGCTATGAGAAAACAAATTAATAGGTCTTCACAAGTCACAGGTGTTCGCAGCCTGTGGTCCCGAACCACATGGCACATAAATATAGAAAATAGGAAAAAGTGGACACCAAAAAGCAAAATATGTTTATCCCTTCATACATCAATTCAAATTATAATGCAGTGAATCAGTATAACTGCTAATAAAGTTCTATCGTTTTCTTTTTCCCTTCCCTACCCCTCACCCTTCCACTAGTAGGGGCCAATTTGAGGGGTAATTAAAAAGTATATAAAAAATATCCTGCATGCAAGACCCAGGTAAAAATATTTTATGGCATTTTTATTTTGGGGATGGAAGAAAGGATGGGGTAAATGAGTCACCACCTTTTTGAGCTTTCCAAATGCTTGCATCAGTGCATTATATGAATGAATATCAGGTGTCAATCCAAAAGAGGATCCGATTGCTTCAAAAGTTTGGTATGCGCGATCAAGGTCCCATATGTTTGCACAACCTAAAATGATGCAGTTTAGAGCAGCAACAGATTTATAAGGAGTCTCTGCTCGGCTCAAACTTTCCAGTTGAAAATAAACCTGAATTATATGAATTAATGTGATTAGATGACACTGCACTTTAATATACCATTCTAATGAAATAAGTAGATCACATGTAGTAGCCAACTTAATCAAAGATGCATGCAGACTAAGAGTTTCAAAATAAGTGTAATTGCAATAAACTAACAAAAATTTTTCTACACATTAAGCTCCCAACAAAAAGAAAAAGCAAAACCCAATAAATAACATAAAACATCACAATGAGGTTGAAGTAGAAATAAATTGTAAAGTTTAGTATTATTGATTAAAAATCTTCACCCAAAAGAAAGACATACTGAATCCAAAGTCTCAAATCCCTTCTTGGAGCATGCCACAACCAATGGATGTAAAGAAGTAAAGGGGGAGAACATTTCTTCAGCTTCTTGACTGCAATCTCCATAGGCTATCTCAAAGTCATGCAACGTACAAAAAGCCCTTTGTAAGTTCCCCATTGATGCAAGGGCATTTATCTTCCCGAGATAAGATTCAGGATTCGGAGCCTTTCTTTGACGCAATGAGCGACGTAAAATAGTCCATGCTGCATCTAGCAGATTAGAACTATAGGTCCTACCAGCAGTGGCTAGAGCTGACACAACTAAACCTTCATCTACAGAAAGCAATGCAGCAGGTCGTGCCTGCTCACCCCTTGCAATCCACATAGCCATAAACTCCAGGGCAAAGAAAGCTAGCTTGCTATTGTCATGCTGCATTGCAGTTTCAGCTATTAAATAGCACACATTCCATGGAGGGCAAAGAGCTTTGTTCTGATCCATTGTCTGGAAAAAGCAACAAGAAAAGCATTACACAGAAAACACATCAACTTATGAGTAGTACATCCAATAGAACAAAACAAATTATCTTGAGTATAAAAAAATTGATTACTTACCTTGCACTTTTCAATTATCGCTGCCAAGGTATCTAGCCTACCCTTACTGATACAAATATTTACACAATTAGTAAACACATTCATTGACAACATATAACTTGATTTCAAAGCCAAATCTATATATTTCAGTGCAGCATCAATTTGGCCAGTCAAAAACAGCATTCCAATGACCAAGTCATATGATTCATTATCAGGGCGAGATTCATTTCCAGTCAGCAGCATCCTGATAATAACAGAAAATTTTGACACGTTACAAAAAATCTAACACATTTGCTCAGTATACGCACATAGAAATAATAGTTGCATCCATGATGAGGAGAAAAAAATAAAATGTATGGAGCAAGTTTTTATTTGCACCATCATCAAACACAGTGCATGAGTTTTGGAAGATCCTGAGTATTGTAGGTAAAATACTACAACTGATGCACAAAATGGAAATGTCACAAAGAAACAACAGTTCATAAGCTAAATCTGCTTATCAATGATATGTAAGCGCTCTTCTCCACGGAGTCACATTCATTGAGTACGTTTGTATGCATGTCAACATATGCTAGAAACAAATCACTGCTTAAATATGCCTTTTCACGTCTAGATATATATATATATATATTTGCTGTCACAACGTATGCACAACTTTTTTCTTGCCAACTTCAATTAGAACTGAATGTTCAGTGCTGCTAGAGAGTATCTGCACAACTACTGGTTATTGGATAAAGCAGTCGTTTCTCATCTAATGTGATGCTGTCCACTGGTCATAAAGGTTCTATATTAATTTACAGACATTGTTGGTTTTGAAACTCCAATCCGATACTACTAATCCTACTTGTAGAAATTGAGTTTGAGCAAGACTAGTTGTAACAGTCATAGAAAACCACATTTTCAATCATTTCTTATCTATACAAGCATCCCCATTGTTAGATAATGCTTGACAAATTTACATGCACCCGTCGTCATTTGCGAAATTCAACAAGATTTATCAGCTAACCGTTCCAGCAACTTCTTAGCAGCTTCAGTCTCCCTGGAGTGGTACATTGCTTTAAGCACCAAATTGAACGAAGCAGTGTTAGGTGTGATATCAAAATTCTCCATTCCAGCTAGCAAGTCAAGTAGCTCCCCAGCAGAAGCACCAATCATCAAGTTCGCTCTCAGATAATGATTATACAAATTCACATCAGGCTTATTCGGCTTCCCACTCTTGTCCAATGACTTAACCCAAGACTCGAACAACTCTTTGATAGCAGCCCATTCCTGAGAGGCCATCCAATCACCAAACTGATCCATCAAGCTCTTAACATCAAATGTCTGAGCCATTGCTTGGATGCGATGACCGGGTACTAGGTTAAGAAAACCCAGCGGAATCACTGACTGGGTTGCAGAAAGTGGAATTGGGCTGCGCCAATTCTCATTGTAGAGAGGACTACCGGAGGCCGGGTTCGGAGGGAGCGGGGCTGGAGCGGGTGGCGCCGGTGACTCTGCGAGTTGAGGCTCCTGAGAGAGGAATGGGAAGGTGGCAATCGTCTTCACGGATGTGTTAGCGTAGTTAGAGTGAAGCGTTTTGATCAGAGACCGCGTGCGAGCAATGATTGCCATTTGCAACGCCATTGATTGAGCTTCGATGGTGGCTTAGGGTTTTCTGCTTCAGTTCAGTTCACCTCGGAATCTAGTCGTTCATTGTCTCTGGATCGGGAAGGCACGGGGGTGATATTGGAATTTCATTGACACACATTAAATATGGAAAATTTCTTCGGAGAATAATTGGATAATTGGCTAAAGTATACATTTCTTATGACTCAAACGCTATTAATTTTAAATTATTATTTTTTTTTTCAATCATTATGATTTAAAAAATTAAATTTATATATTAATATTTAAAATATTTTATTACTATATAAAAATTTAATGTAAAAATTTCTTATTAATAAAACTAATCGTGTTAGTATTAAAAGATTTAAAAAATATTTTATAAAATAAAATTTTATATAAATTTGAATGACTGAAGTTGCAAGAAAATAATTACATGTCATGTTGGGCCGTAATTTTCTAGCAAGGTCCAGCGTCTAATGGGCTTCGTGACAATATTTTTGGTAAAACACCATTGAAACTCTTGGCAACAAATGTTTTCCAGCAAAACTGTATCAGGTTGTTTTTCAATATTCTACAAAAAAATTTGTTTCTCAATAATAAAAAAAAAGGCTTTGAACACGGGTGGGTCCAGCGTGTCATAACATATGAATTAATATTTAAATTTTTATTAAAAAATTTGTTTACATTTAATGTCTAATCATATTATAAATAAAATTGATTTCAAAAAGAAAATATTTGTACATGATAAAAATGGTTCAAACAAAAATTTTGAACAATTTTTTTTTTTAAAGATTAGTTCTAAGCATGGGTGTTTAGGGTTATACTCGTCCGATCGACCAATTCCTATCTCATTCATGTTGGGACATGTTTGTCCCAACTATTGACTCAAGATACCCTTCGTCCTGTCTTGTCCCAATATTTTGTGTGTGTATTCCTTTTACTGTGTGTGTATTAATTATTATATTATTTTTATTATTTATTGGTTTATATTTTCTATTTATTTTTACTTTATTTAATTTTGTATTGCTCTGTGATACTCAATTTGGCCAAACAAGTTGCAAAATATTTTCTCATAGTTATTGATATTAATTTAAGAATTAAAAAGAGAAACTCAAATCGCCACCATCCAAGTAATCTAATGAGTTTATTTTTTAAAAAAATATATATATAGATCCCGAGGAGCAAACTTAATCACAAATAACTCTCATGAAATTTAGAAACTACAACTAAGTCGCTTAGGACCTAAATGTAATTTAAAATTGAGATAAAAAGATAATAATGCTCGTATTAAACATATATACATACATTAGTCAAATAATTTACAACTACTTCATCATTATTTCACAACCATAACTTCATTTTTTTTACAACTATAACTTCACATATCCAATAGTTAAATTGATCAATTTAACTATTGGATATGTAAAGTTACAAGATCAATTTAATTATTGGATATGTAAAGTTACAATTGTAAAAAGTTAAAATTATAATTATAAATTATTGATAAAGTAGTTGTAAATAATTAATATTAAATTTTATTAATAACATATGATTGTTTAATTATTGGATATATGAAGTTATAGTTGTAAAAAATTAAAATTATAGTTGTAAATTGCTGATGAAGTAGTTGTCAATTAATTATTTAACTGATGTAATATATGTTTGACGAGAATATTATTATTTTTGCAGCCTAATTTCAACTTATACTTAGATCCTAAGGGACCTAGTTGTGGTTTTTAAATTTTGTGAGATTTGTTAGTAAATGAGTATGCTTCACAGGACTTGTATGTAATTTTTCCTTTATTTTTTGAATTTATGTCTAGTTATTGTAGCTTTTTATAATCTAAGTTTATAATAGACTTTAATCAAATAGCTTGCACATGTACAGGGGCTCATGTATTTAGGTTAGAGTCGGGCCTGGAGGCCTTATTTAAATAAGCGCTCAAACTTTGAAAATTAATTTTTTTTTAAAGTAACAGGACTGAGAACATGGCCCTAATAATCCTGTAAAAAAGGGCTAGACCTTGGTGATCCTTCAAACCTGATTATGTTATTATTATTATTTTTTATGGAACATGCGTTTAGAAGCCAAGAAGGACCTACTAAACGCTTGAATCATGAACCCTAATCACTCCTCACTCAACTTTTTAAACCTTGCTACTTGTAATTGCCTTTCCTTCTTGCTTGTCCTAGCTCATCTCTCCCTCACCGCCTCACAAGTTTTAGCCACAACCAATTAACCATAGTTCATCTTAGCCACTGCCACTCTGTCTCACTCAGTCTACCTCTCATTCCTCGCCCCTCAGGGTAAACTCCTTGGGTTAGACTAGTAAGGTTACCCTTACTAATATTCCCCTATCACCCACAAATCAATATCATCAATCATTTGACAAAAATTACAATTGGAAAGATCTGAGTTTCCAAAATTCACAAATGGAAGAACAACATTAAACTTGCAATGAAATCTCAAGAAATTTCATTTAAACATCCACTTGCATGCTATATGTTCAAAACTAGAGCATCAAAACTTTTATAGAAGCCCAAAAATCAAATGCGACCCAAACCATTGAATTCGAAACTCAAATATGTCATTTATGTAGAAAATGGGACGTGTTGTGGCTAAGCACCATTGCACCACAGCATATTGCATAAAGTTTGATAGCAAACTATTGCTATCAAATGACAACACTGGAAGTAAACTTTCAATGTGTCTCAAATCTTTGTTAGACATCTGATTGAGAATAGCACAATTTCTACAGGAAGTTTTCTCCTAATTCTAGCTAATAGTACAATTTTACATTCAAATTCATTTTCTACAAAGAGTTAGACAATCAAACCCAATTTCACTCTTTTTTCACAAAAACTCACCACAAGGGTGCAAAACTCACAGACAAGTGTCAAAAGCCTACACTGACCACCTTATGAACTCAATGAATTTTATTAGACTCATGCAATACACCACAACAATACAAAAACTCATATAACCTAAATTTACCATGCAACCCTAAATTTCATAAAAACACAAGGGGGAGGAATCTTTGCACAAATCAGTCATTTTCATTTCAAACCAGTCAAAATGCTCATTTTTCTACTTGTACAAGTATTTTGGCCCTATACAAGAGTTTACAACCAAAACTCACTAACCCAGGATGCAAAATGCATAAGCTGTACGCTATAGTAATGCAAGTAATTCAAAATAATCATGTGTATCCTAGTTGGCAAATTAACATAGTTAATAAACATAAAACAAACACATTGAGGCATACAAAAAAGATTACTCTACAATCATATGCCTCGGCACATTTTTCCCAATCTCGATGTGATGAGTTGGGCTTAAAAATATTAAGAATTGAGGAGTGAGTATAACCACTCAGTAACCAGTTTCACCTAATCTATATAATTGCATATCAATTTAAAATAGATGTAAATGGACAATAGCTACACAATTAATGCATATGTGACAATTATGGCCATGGTTCACAACACTAACAACCATGTGACGGGGCCCACAGCACATATATTCATATTTAGTAACAATGAACATCATGAGGTCACAATAGTACCAATGATGTGCCCCGAACACATACTGGACCATAATAATAATAGCCATGTGGCCGGATCTAAATGCATGATTAAATGCTACCTTATACCCTTTTGTTACCTTTGACATAAAATTGGTGGCTATCTCGTGATTATGTCCTTCATAGACTAACCCAGCCTTTTAATTGTGAGGAGCTATCGAGCCAGGGTTTACTCACTCACTTGTACAACACGATTTCCCCCAATACTAACAACCATGAGGTGTCAAACCCCTATTCTAGCCTCCTCATGATCCCATAGATATTAGTTAGATTTGAGTCTCTCATGAAACAAGTAAGACAGTCTCGAATCAACTATGAAATAAGGATTACCTCTCAATTTTAATGATTGGTGCTAAGGCAAGTTCCTGATTCCAACGGTTGCCGCGAAGATCACGTGGATTTACTAATTACTCCTCTCTTTAGGTGAACTCCCGCCAATGATCAAGCTATGCACATGTCACATACTATGCATTCTAATCCACAATTCACCTCATATGAATTCACATGTCCATACTCATAAGTTCTACAAACTCTACATGTCAAACCTTTGTAAGCTTAAAAGTTTACCCCTCACAATAATCACTTCTAAAGCTTCTCCCAAGTTTGAATGGTGCCAAAATGAATCACTTTACAATCATATTACAAGGATATCATCATTATCTCACTCTTAGGTATTTATCAACATTAAACTCCATATTTTCTATTCTATCAATTATATAATTCACTACCCATACATACCCAATAGGTTGACTAAGTTCCTTTGACCCATATTATCACTAATAACTCATTAAATCATCATTAATGAGTCACAAATATTTCCAACCACCACATTTATTGCTAATTATGAGTATTAATGTCTCACAACCACTAACCCCTCATAAAACTATTAAAGTTGGGTTTAAAGACCCTAAATAACCCTCATTATATGCATTTTAACCAATGAATTCAGACTTATAACTCTTATGAACTGAAAATCAATCTCTTAACTCAAACCCTAAATTTACTTTTCATAAATATGGTAGAGAAGGGAAAAGAGAGGCATAAACTACTTACCTTAGGCGTTTAGAAGTTCTAAAAGATCACCAATGGTCCTAATATATATGCCCTAGCAGAGCTAGGTTTGTCTTCATTTTTCTCCTTTCCTTCTTTTTTGATTTTTTACAAAGACATGAACTGATAAAGTCAGAATTTTGGCACATGCAGCCATTTGCCAAGGCACATAGCATAAAGAGGCCTGGTTCACGCTTATCTTCTCTTGTGAGCCATGGCAAGCATTCCCTGTGTTGTGGCATGTGGCACAGAGGGCTTTTCTCTACTTTTGATGCCTGAGTGGTCCAACCATACTTCAAACCCGCATCTTGGGTTGAAATCAAAGTCAAATACACCTAGTAGACCCCTCTAGCCACACACTTCATCGACTCACTAATTATCCTCATTAAGTTTAATTAATCGTGCTTAATTTCTCAAATATTACACTCAACTTCAAGTCCTCGCCCTCATCTATCAGCCTTACACCTTTTACATCTCGCCTACTTTGATGGTTCT